TTTTTTTTTTTTTTGGAACCGGAGATTGAACTCAAGCCCTTGCACTTGCCAGGGAAGTCCTTATTCTACTGAGCCATCTCCCTGGCCCCTATAGGTCTTAAATAAGCACATAAAACAATGACCTTCAATCCAAGTCATATTTCCATAATAACTTAAGACACTTTCAAAGTCACTTGTAGCTTTAGAAATATGAATGAAACAACCATCATTTGATATAGACCAGCTAGACACCTTGAGTCCCAAGGATACAGTGTCAAGTCAAATAACATCATATAAACAATTTCTTTATTTATATTAAGCACAAATGAACATTATTATTATTATTTTGCTATTTTCTGGCTTTTTTAAAAAATGCATTTGGTTGTTATAGGGTCTCACTACATAGTTTGGACTCCTAGTGATCCTCCTGTTCTTAGCTACCCCAGTGCTGGGACTACAGGCATCCACCACTACGCCCGGACTCCATGGCTGGCTCAGCCTGTCCTAGGGGCAGCATGTGGTGCTGAGAACTGAACCGTAGTCTCTACACTTGCCTAAGCAGGTGCTTTAGTCCACTGAGCTATCTCACCAGCCCTCTCTTTTTTTTTTTTAAATATATTTAGTACAGGGTATACAGGCTCTCACTACATAAATTGGACTTGTAGTGATCCTTCCTGTTTTTCAGCCTTCCAAGCACGGGATTACAGGCGCATGCCACCAAGTCCAGTTTCAATCACCCTCTCAAAGCGCCCTGGGGGCAAGGCCGGCATGGCAGGCCTGCGATCGAACCCCTGGCCCTTGTTGTCTGCCTAAGCAGGTGCTTTAATCCGCTGAGCTATCTGGCGGCCCTTTTCTGGCTTTTTTGAGATAAGGCCTCACTATGTAGTCTAGGCTAGCCATGAACTCATCACGTAGCCTACGCTGGCATCAAATTCATGGTGTCCTTCCTGCCTCAGCCTCCCAAGTGCTGGGATTACAGGTGTGCACCACTACGCCTGGCAAAACCAAACATTATTATGTATGTTGGTTGGTCTGTTTTCCATGGCCTTCTTATGCTACCCTCAAAAACTGCTCAGCTTGGGCATGGTAGTGCATGCCTATAATTCCATCGCTTGGGAGGCTGAGGTAGGAGGACTGTTCAAGACCAGCCCAGGATATAAAGTGAGCTCAAGTCCAGCCTGAACTGCATACTGAGATCCTGTCTCAAAAAGACAAAAATCCAAAAAAAAAAACCCCAAAAACCAAAAATTCCCTCAATAAAATGTAATATGCTTTATCACAGCATAATTTATGATAGAACAAATTTTATACCAGCCTTAAAAAAAGTACTGGTATTTTATGTTAGTGAAATAAAGGTTTTACCATTCATATTATATCATTTTGAAAATATAAACACTTTTAAGTCAGCAGCTTGATTGACTTCACAAACAGCTACAAGGTGTCCTGATGGTGACACAGACCAACAGAGGACTGGGAGAAGAAAGATCAAGATTACAGGCCCAACTCTACTTGCTAAATGTGTTCCCTGACAGCTGTAAAGGCTTTGAGCTTCAGTTACTTTCTGTATAACCGGATGAGGACATCTGCCTTGCCTTTACATGAAAATCAATACCATGATGGCCAAAACCCAAACAAACCTCATCAGTGGTTTTCTTTGAGTAAGGGGTAACAGGTGGACTCTATTTTTCCTTTTTTTTTTGGTCGTTGTTGTTGGAGTTCTATTTTTTCTCTTTATACTTTTGAAATAAGTCTAAATGTACACAGCTGTCTACTGGAAAAAATAAAAATTTTAAATAATGTCTAAAAATTAACACTGGTGCTGCTCAGTGGCTAACACACAAGGTTGAGAGAAGGCAGAAAGCACCCTGAGCCTGAACAGGTGGCCAGTCTCATCCACAGCATGAGGAACAGAAGGACCGACACACACGCTGCGGCTTGCTCTCATGCATGCCGCTGGAGGACAGCAACAACCAGTGCCCATGCTCAGGACCTGTGAGCAGGGGCTGAGGGACAGAGGTCAGTACAGAGGAGCAGCCCTGCCAGGGGCTTTCTGAATGAACGCCTTAAGCTGAACGAAGAGTGAAAGCTTAAAACTACTATATAAGCACCATAGGTTGCATTCAGAAATATGACAGAAACACAAATTATAAAATGCATGTATTTCCTATGATTTCTCTGCTTTAAAAAAGGCACTGAGAAAGTCTTTCCTATTTTTATAACCTTGGTTTCTTTTTGCAAAATGGGAAGGAGGTTTTTTTGGGGGGCTACTTCATGCTGCCTTAAGGGGAGGTCTGCTGCCTCTTCTGGAGCTGGGAATTGAACTGCAGTCCTGTGCGCCAGACTGCATTAGCACAAGCAGCACTTTCAACAACTGAGCTATCCGGCAAAGCCCCTCTTTTTGCAAAATGGGAAAAGGTTTGTTTTCCAATTGTAATACAATTTTCTTCAAGCAGAATTCAAAAAATTATAAAGTATAAAACAAAAGTTATTACTAATTATTCATAATCTCAATACCCAGAGAAAGCTACTTTCACTAATCCCTAAGTTTAACTGATGTGAACAGCCTGTTTCTAATTATGCAGCAATAGTAAGACAGTCATAACCACCTGATGCTACACAGCCCTCAGGCCCGGCCAGTACAAACTGCAAGTTACAGCCTGTCTGCGACACACTGCAGGTTTTGAAGAAAGTACTCCCAAAGCAAAATTTTTTTTTTTTTTTTTTTTTGTGGAACCGGGGATTGAACTTAGGCCCTTGCACTTGCCAGGAAAGTGCTTATTCCACTGAGCCATCTCCCCGGCCCGCAAAATATCTTAATAATTTTATATTGATGCTGAAATAATATATCAGCTAATTTCTAATTCAAAAATGCTAATGTGGTTAGCAGACACTAATTTCTTCTGTCTCACATGCTCCCATCAGAACTGGTCCCTTTCCATGCAGACCCATAGTCCTCCACTGCAGCTGGCACTGCTCCCAGGAATGTCTGTGAAGAGGACAAATTCCCATCCCAGAATGACAGCCACATCTACACACGCAACCCTTGGCGGCAGGAAAAACGGTACTCTGAACCATTCCAATGGTAGAAACATCACCTTACCAGGCTTTTTTTCTAGAGTAGAGCAACTAGTTTATAGTTCTATCTGAGCTGAGTGTGGTAGCGCACACCTAGGACCCAGTACACAGAGGCTGAGGCAGGAGGATCAATGCAAGTTTGAGGTCAACCTGGGTTGCAAAATGAGTTCAAGCCCAGCCTAAACTACACAGTAAAACCCTGTCTCAAAAAGTCAAAAAAAAAAAAAAAAAGGAAAAAAGGGCTAGAGGCTGGGCCAAATAACTCAGTGGATTAAAGTGCCTGCAAGCAGGTGCAGGGGCCATCGGTTTGATTCCTGGGCCTGCTGCGCCAGCCCTATTCCCAGGGTGCGCTGAGACGGCAACTGAGAATGGGTGTGGTGGCATGGCACGCGCCTGTAATCCCAGCTCTTGGGAGGCTGTAAACAGGTGGATCACTACGAATCCAATCTAGTAGTGAGACCCTGAACACCCTGTAGACGCTTCCCTAAAATAAAATAAAAAAAAGGGGGGGGAGGGGGCTGGGGAGACAGCTCAGCAACATAAGCAGCTGCTCAGCAAGAGCAATGTACTGAGTTTGACACCCTAGACCACAAAAAGTAAACAAAAAGTCAAAAAATAAACAAAATTCATTTTTAAACAAATAAATAAAATAATATCTGAATTTAATGATGGTGCTATTTATAAAACCAGATTTTCATTTTCCTTTGTAAATGAATTCTCTCTAGTAATTCTTTGTGTTCTTAATTTCTGTTCTCCCTGCTCAAATCTTTCTCTTAAGAAGAAAGGAATAGGGTTAAGGTGAAAAGAAAACAAAAGCTTAAGACAACATAAAATATCAATAACTACTGAAGTACCCACAATACTTACTTGAGTTGTCTATTTAATTCTTCAACATAATTCTTTTGGTCCAAAATGGCAGCAATCTGAACATTCCTGGGGAAAACAGGAGCAGGTTGGTGATAGTTGGAAAGGTGAAAAAAATATTTAAATCATCTAAACAAAATCCAAGAGTCTTTCTTCCTTTGGTGGTATCAGGAGTCAAACCCAGGATCTTCACACTGAGCGTCAACCTCAACCCTTTTCTTTCTTTCTTTTCTTTTCTTTTTTTTTTTTTTTTGTCTTTTTGAGACAGGGTCTCACTATGCAGTTCAGGCTGGCCTTAAACTCACAGCAATCCTGCCTCAGCCTCCCAAGTGCTTATCTTCAGTCTTTTTAAAGCTCCAAACCTTTGCGAAAACACCCAGACTGGGTTTAAACTTCTCATCCTCCTACCTCAGCCTCCAGAGCTCTATGATGACAGGTATAGATCACCATACCTGGCTAAAATTCAGGAACCTCTATAATCACTTAGTGGGAAGCTATGTACTAAGTAACCTTTGGTGAGTAAATTGCTTCCTAATACCAGGCTTAACATCTCATTATATTTTAAATACAGTAAGTAACATTAGCACAAAACACAGTTACTAAACAGGTCTTGACAAACACAGCAATGACCAAAAGTCCTACTTTCTTTTAAATGATTTTTCCCCATATGTTTTGTAAAACGTTTAAAGAAAATACAAACAAAACAAAGCAGGAAATTCAGGACACACACAGACATATCATAAATGAATGGATGTCAAACCTCTCTGTAAAGAGTTATATTTAAAAATATAGCATGTGAAAGAACTTAGGAAAATCTTACCTTTCTTTATTTCCAATATCATCTTCATTCTTTAGATACATGGAAAAATCAATCACTCCAACCTGAAGTTAACAAAGTTATTTTTATTTAAAGGGAAAAATAACAGCACTAACACCCAACTGAACACTCTTCAACTCTCTTTGGTGTGTAACACACCATTCACAACTTGGAGCAACCCACAACACAGAGTTTGTAAACTCTGCATGTGGTACCAACCATGCTCACTTACTTGGGAATCTAAGTCCTCTCCCTTTACGCACAGGTTGGCATCGATCACGTTCAGGCCAACCAGCAGCCCGACGATCACGGCACCCTCCTCCTCCATCATCAGAGCGTGGTACTCATAGAACTCGCTACACAATCAGAAGAACAAGAAGCTGAAATCACAAAATTATTTCTAAAACTAAATTTTACAATCTTAGTGTTTTATGTTATGGGCATGGAAATCATCAAACCTATCTGTTTTCTTTTCATGGTTTTATTTTTTTATAGGACTGGGGACAGAAGCCAGGCCCAATGCTGCTAGCCAAGTGCTACACTGACCTGTATCCCTGGATGTCAGTTAGGTAGCTTGCTTGCTTTATTTATTTATTTATTTATTTATTTATTTATTTTGGTGGAACTGGGGATTGAACTCAGATCCCTGCGTTTGCCAGTCAAGCGCTTATCCTACTGAGCCATCTCCCTGGTCCCTAGGTAGCTTTAAATCAGCCTTTCTATATGCTAACTTTTCTTTTTTTTTTTTTCAGAACCGGATATTGAACTCAGGCCATTGCACCTGCCAGGGAAGTGCTTAATCCACTGAGCCATCTCCCCGGCCCCCCTAACTTTTCAAATTTAAATGCTGATATAGAAAATGAGACCGAAGGATATATATGAAGAATTCTGATCAGGTGTACAGGCATTTTACAGGTGCATGCCTGTAATCCCAGCACTCGGAGGTTGAAGCAGGAAGACAGCACAGTTTGCAGCCAGCCTGGGCTACATGGCAAGATCCTGTCTCAAAACACCAAAGAGGAGAGGGCCAGGGAGATAGTTCAGTAGAATAAGTGCTTGCCTGGCAAGCACAAGGGTCTGAGTTCAATCCCCAATTCCGCAAAAAAAAAAAAAATCCAAAAGAATTTTTGAAGGCTGGCGAGATAGCTCAGCAGTCTAAAATGCCTGCTTAGGCAAGCTTAGGCAGGCTCAGGAGACTGCGGTTTGATCTCTGGCACCACATGTCATGCCAGCCCTGCCCTCAGGGAAGGCTGAGCCAGCCATAAATAAATAAATATTTTAAAAAGATAATTTTTGCCCAGGAAGAGATGCAAAGAAAGATTAAAAGAAAGAGAGACAAATGGGAGGTGAGTGGGAAATGCCTGTAGTCCAAGCTGCTCAGAAGGCTTATGCAGAAGGATCAAAAATTTAAGGCTGGTAGTGGGTTGCTGAGATGGCTCAGTAGAATAAGTGCTTGCCTGACAAGCACAAGGGCCTGAGTTCAATCCCCAGTTCCGCAAAAAAAATAAATAAATAAAAAATAATAAAAATAAAAAGGGTTTAGGGGCCACAGAGATGGCTCAGTGAGTTCAATCCAAATAAATAAATAAATAAATACGATTTAATGGTAGAGTGCCTATCCAGCAGACCTAAGACTGTGGGTTCAATCCTTGCTGAGATAGGAGGATCATTGAGTTGGTGGCTAGCACTGGCTACCGGTGGTGCGCGCCTATAATCCCAGCACTTGGGAGGCTGAAAAGGAGGATCACTACAAGTTGGATCTATGCAGTGAGATCCTGTAGTCCCTGCAGACCCTGTCCTAAATACAAAAATACATAAATAAACAACAGCAGGCGTGGTGGCACATGCCTATAATCCCAGCATTCAGGAGGCTACAGCAGGACAACTGCTACAAATTTGAGACCAGCCTGGGATTGGGTTCAATCCCCAGCACCAAAAAAAAAACTAAGAAAAAGAGGCTACACTAATGCCTAAAATTAGGACTTGTCTATATATATTCAGAGGAACAGTTACCACTATCTTATGCCATCCAGTGCCAAGGATATTATTTCATCACTTCAATGAAGCTTGGGATCACAGACAGACTCAATGTTAGAAGTATGGTCATTCTCTTCTCACACTGGGAAATCCAAGGTGTAGACCCAGAGGCACAGGAGTACATGGCTATCCCAGCCGCAACCACCCAACAGCTCGGCCTGAAGCTCAGACAAAGCCAGCTGGGTGCAGCGTTAGCAGAAGAGCAGAGAAGGAAGAAACGCACAGGATTAAACCCCCAAACTCTGATGCAAGTCTCTGTCCACAGACTCAGCTGTCATTCAGAAGAGCGAAGGCAAGTTGCGCGACTCACAGACATCTCCTTGCCGCTGAGGCAAAGCTTACGGTGTTCTTATCTGGGGCTCCTTCCTGACCCATGTCTACCTACCAAGGTTTTCTCTCTCAGTCTTCCTCTTCCTTTTGTTTTGTGCCACCTTATTGTATCTTATACATCCTTACATTTTTACATCCCAACTCCTTTGCACAGACAGGACTCAATAAAAGAAGCCATGCAGATGAGTGTGGCCACAGGCACTGACCTCAGGAGATCTCTCTGGATGATCAGGCAGCGTAGGTAGTCGGCCATTTTCTTTTGCATGAGGGCCAACCGCAGCCAGGCCCTTGCTCTGCCCAGTGGGGTCCTAGGAAGAAGAGGCCCCTGGTCAGAGCACGGCCTCGCACTGGCTGAGTCATGGGCTGCCTGTGCTACTTCGCTGAGCCACAAATTAGCACAGGAAAGAAGCATTTTATCATGGATTTGTTTTTCCCTCTGTAGACTGAAGCCAGCTTTAGGAGCAAATAGTGGATCCCCAGGAGGAGGCAAATCCACTCCAGCAGAACATCTAAACAACATTTTAAACTTGGAAGAAAAGATTCTGAGCACCCAGGAGGGCTTATGTGAATTCCAGGCCAGCCTATACTACATAAGGAAACCCTGTGTCAAAAAGACAAAAAAAAAAAAAAGCTACCTTTTACATGAAAAGTGAAGAGACTTTTGTGGGGAAGGATGAGCAACTAATGAGATTACTTACTTAAGACCCGGTAAATCCCGCACACTGGCTCCTATTTCCTCTGCTTCTGGGTATAACTTTTCCACCAGTTCTAAAGGGCCCCAGATGGTTTTGTTATAACTCAAAAATGATTTTTTCACTGGAAAAAAAAGAGAGAGAGAGAGAGCAATGCACACAGTTTCAACATAAACAAATGTAGAAACTTCTTTAAAATGTATTCTTAACACACTGTTGTCCAGACACCTTCCCACCAGCCACCATCACATGGCCTTGTGCACCAGTATCCTACTCAGTCAGGACCCTGGAGCCCACACTACTTTTTGCCATGTCAGAAAAACCTATCTCAGCCAGTTCTGGGCAGTAAATTAGGTTAAAACCAGCCAGGCTTAAACTGGGTGTGCTGAGGCCTACAATCCCAGCACTTGAGAGGTTGAGGCAGGAGGATCACTGTGAGCAAGGCCAGCTGGGCATAGGAGAGTTCAAAGCTAGCCTGAGCTACACAGTGAGACTTTATTAAAAAAGAAAGAAAAGAAAAAAAAGAAACTCCACCCAAAGCACTACATTTTTTCTTTATAGTCTAATATTTGGGGGCTGGGGAGATGGCTCAGTAGAGTAAGTGCTTCCCTGGCAAGCGCAAGGGCCTGAGTTCAATCCCCGGTTCCACCAAAAAAAAAAAAAAAATCTAATATTTGGGTCATAGAGAACCAGTGACTGCTGTCTGTTTCTTTCTCAGCTCTGATCAGCATGTGGCAGAGACAGTGCGTCACTGTGTCTGTCTACCCTAAGGTCCTCAGGTGCCCCCTGGAACAGGCACAAGGGTGAGTGATGGAGATAGTCCCAGCATAAGGGAGCTCTGCAGTAACGCTGTCAGATGAGAAGGTCTTTGAGGATGGGGCTCACCAGGCAACTCAGGCTGCCTTGAGTTCACTTTGTAGCCCAGGCTGGTCTCAAACTTGTAGCCATCCTCCTAACTCAGATTCCTGAGTACTAGGATGACAGGCATGTGCCACCACACCTGTTTCTATTTTGTGAAATTTTTATTATTTTTGAAAAAGAATTTAATTATCTTGGCCAACATTTCAGCAAAGTCCAATTCAACAGGCTTAGGGCAAGTAAAAATTTTTAACATGCTAGTTTTTTTTTTTTTTTTAAATCAGAGTTTAAAATACACAGAAGCTTTTCAGAAGGGAAATTAGAATTAAAAAAGACCTGACAGGGGCCGGGGAGATGGCTCAGTGGAATGAGCGCTTGCCTGGCAAGCCCAAGGCCTTGAGTTCAATCCCCGGTTCTGAAAAAAAAAAAAAAAAAAAAAAAGACCTGACAAGCCCATGGCTTTCCAATGTGTATGCAGAAGCGGGGAAAGTGGCACAGGGGGCCACAGCTGCTGGAGGCCAGGACAGGCAGCAGAGAAGATGTGGGCTGGCATCAGGCCCACACAGGTGCAGGAGAGCCTATGGTACCCAGAGTATATTTCTACTATTTCTTAGGTAACTTTAAGAAATTAAATATTTTTTTTATTTATTTTTTTTTTAAATTTTTATTTATTATTTGAGAGATTATTTGAGAGAGAGAGAGAGAGAGAGAGAGAGAGAGAGTGGTGTGTGTGTGTGTGGCCAGCTCAGCCCACCAGGGGGCGGGGCTGGCTGGCATGTGGTGCTGGGGGATTGAACCGCGGTCCCCGATGCTTTGCCAAGCTTGTTCTAAGTAGGTGCTTTAGACCACTGAGCCATCTCTCCAGCCCCAAGAAATTAAATTTTTTAAAAAAGAAATTATTTCATCATTAAACAAAAATCAACAAGTTCATTAATAACATCATAGGATTTCTTAAGCTTTGATAACAAGGCCTTATTACTTTTCTGAAGTTCACACAATTTGGGTGGGTTTTTTTGAGTCAGGACCCTGATTTGTTATTCAGGCTGGCCTCCAACTTGAGGTGATCCTCCTGCTTCAAGCTTCCATGTGCTGGGATTACAGCATGTGCTACCATGCCTGGCTTCCTCTTTTGGTTGTTACAGCTACCCAATGTTCATGCTCTGTAGTCAGAACTCCTAGGCTCTCCTTGCTTATCCCTGTTAATAAGCCAACAGCAGCACAATTCTGCTTTCCAAGTCACAGTGGCACACAACTGACACAGTCCTCTCCTTAGAGGCTGAGCGTAGGAACTAGGGGCCAGAGCTGACAAGTAAATACACACACTATTTAAAATTAAATATATAGCTCTGGGGCTGGTGAGATGGCTCAGTGGTCTAAAGCACCTACTTGGAACAAGCTTAGCGAAGCACAGGGACGGCAGTTCAATCCCCCAGCACCACATGCCAGCCAGCCCGCCCCCTGGTGGGCTGAGCTGGCCACACACCACACACACACACACACACACACAGATAAATAAATAAAAAAATTAAAAATAAATAAATAAATAAATAAATATATAGCTCTGCCGGGCACAGTGGTGCACAGGTCAATGGTAGAGCATTTGCCTGGAATGGACATGGCCCTAGTTTTGATTCCCATTACCAAAAAAATAGAAAACATTTTACATGAAACAATAATTCAACCATGATATGCCAAAGATGTTTGATATTTAGACAGAGAAAACCGAACTGCATATGTTGCTGGGTAATAATAAGCTTCTCTTCTGGAGGGTTAACAACCAAAGTTAGCAGTTCAAAATTGGAGCAAAGGAAGGGCTACAAGGTCAGCCAACATTTTGGCCCTAGCCTTTCAAGGTCAGTGAAGACTTGGGACATAGGAGAACCTGCACTGTAACAACATGTAGCTCAGTTGTACTACAAATTTTCTTATCAAGAAGATTATGGAGCCACAGAAGAATGTGATTGATGATGTATAGTATGCCTGGGGAGAGTCACATGGAGAGAAAAAACATGCTCTCAGGCTTTCAGGGAAAGCAAATTGGTCAAGCAATGGCCGTGACTCATCCTCATGGCTGACACTGACAAA